GAGGCTGTGTCTCTGTGATGGCGTGTGAGTACACATGTGTGTTTGATGTTTCTGTGTGTTCTGTGTGCCCGTGTGGGGATGAGCCGGCTCTCAAATGAGCCAGGCTGTTGTGGAGATGACAGTGTGCAGCCACGAGAGAAGTAGTGAGGGGCGTGTGTGTGTGCATGTGTATGCGCACACACATGTACCCCAGGCACAGAGACACCCTCACCCAGGGTCAGGCCAGAGCATTTGGTTGACATGGGCAAGGGTAGGAGTGGGGGTGACCTCGGGGGCTGGAGGGCAAGTCCTGGCAGGAAGGCCCTTGTCACCTTCCTGACCCCGTCCTCCCTGGGACAGTCATGGGGTCTCCTGGGTGCCTGTGGTGGGATGATCCCTGAACCTGGGTTTGTGTACACATGGACGCGGACATAATCTATGTGGACAGGTGTGAGTGTGAGCTTGTGCATGTATAGTGTGTGATAGCAGGCAGCCGAGCTGTGTGTGGTGTGTAAAGTGTGCCTACTGGTGGATGTCCAGAGTGAGTGTGTGTGTAGGGAGTTCGCTGTGTGTCTCTACTGTGTGTATGGATGTGTCCTACATGGGTGTGTGGCGTAGGGAGGGGTGTGTCCTCAGGGTGGGTGCAGGCAGAGTGTCGGGGTGTATGTGTGAGTGTGTGTCTGGGTGTGATGTGTGTGCCTATTGGTGTGTATGTGTGGGTGGGGGCAGCGGAGGGAGAAGGGTCTTGGGCCGCGTCTCTCTCCTCTTTAGACAGAGCCCTGGAGAAGATATGAAATTTAAAAAAAAAATCAATTTTCATTCCACTTGTGCAGATTGTGTTAAGGGGAGGTGGGGGGGGGGCTGGGTGAGGGATGAAGGGGCTGGGTGGGGGTGTGAGGCCCGAGGCAGCTCCTGAGGCGGCCGGAGCAGCTTAGAGAAATCAAAACAACTGGTTAAACCCCAGCCCAAGGGGCCAGGATGATGGGAGGCAAAGAGAGATGCCTGGAGAGACAGAGAGAGGCAGAGACACCCAGAGACAGAGACAAGGAACAGAGACATTCAGAGATTTGGAGAGATTTGGAGATAGAGGCAGACAGAGAGATGGAGCCACAAAGACCCTCAGCGAGAGAGAGAAAGACACTAACACCCAGCGAGGCCTGAGAGAGGCCGGGAGACCTGTCTCTAGAGAGACAGCAGCAGAAGCAGGCCTGAGACAGTGCACCCCTCACACATGCATGCACGCACATGCAGAGACATGCTCGAGAAGGGTGGATGGGTGGATGGACAGTCAGACAGCTGGGCAGATGGTGGCACGAGCAGCGGGGCCCCTGGTGGCTTTACCTCTGAGCGCCCACCCACATCTTGACCCAGCCTCTCACCCAGATGGCCTGTGTGTGTGAGTGTGCTGCTGTTTGGGCTAGTCCGTGTGTGTTGTGTGTGTGTGTGTGTTGGGGTGGTGTGTGCATCTCTCTCCATGCATGCCAGATCACATGTGCATGCAGGGTCTCTAGTTAGTGCTTGTCTGTGTGACTCTGTGCTTTTGTGTCACCTGTGTGTGACTGGCTTGGTTGTGCTGGTGCGTGTGTCTGGGTGACTGGGTATGTCTCTGTTACTGTGTGGCACTGTGCCACTGTGTGCTTGTAGGTCTGTGTGTCTGCACTGATTGCGAACCTCGTTGTGTGATTATGTGTCTCTGTTAATGTGTGTCTATGATTTGTGGTTGTGGGACTGAATTGATGTGTGTCTTGTGGGTGTACCTGTGTATAATTGTGTGTCTATGTTTCTGTGTGAATGTCTGTGACCATGATGTGTGTGTGACTGTTTTGACAAACATGTTGGTGTGTTGTGTTTGATATGTTGGTATGTATGCCCGGGTTGCTGTGTGGGCCTGTGTGATGTGTGTTGGTTGTGACAGTCTTGGCATGTATGATTTTGTTGACGCATGCATCGCACATCTTTGTGATGTGTTGTGTGTGACAGTGGTGTGTGTCACTTTGTTGACCTGTGTGTGATGTGTTGTGTGACAGTGTGGTATGTGTTGCTGTGTTGACATGTGTCTGTTGACATGTTGTGTGACAGTGTGGTGTGTGTGCCTGAATTGGTGTGTGGATTTATGTAACTGGTTGGCAGGGAGGGGAGGGAGGCAGCCTCAGCCGGCCCAGCCCTTCTCCACACTGCTGTGTGCACACACACACACACACGCGCATACACATTCAGTGCCATGGCTGCGGGCGGTGGAGATGGGGGGTGGGGGGGGTGGAGGAAGCAAAATAAAATTAAAAATTAAAGCTTGCCCGGAGTCCCCATCCGCACCGCGGCCGGCGGGGAGCCGTGGGGGGTGCAGCAGCTCCCCCTCCAAAGCCACCCGAGCTGGGGCCAGCTGTCTGTCCGTCAGTCTGTACGGCTGTCCTACCGCCTGCCCGCCCTGCACACAGATTGGCCCGAAGGCCTGCTCCCTCCATCGGGTCGATCAGCGATCAATGGGGCCAGAGGGGTGCTAGGGGCAGGGCAAGATCAAAGGGACCCCAAGAGACGGACACTGGGACTGAAACAGAGACACGGAGACGTAGAGACAGAGACAGAGAGACAAGGAGACAGGAATGTGGGGCGGAGAGACACAGAGACCCAGAGACATAAAAGCAGAGAGCAGAGTGGTGTGAAGAGATAGGGACCCAGAGACAGAGAGATGGGGGGACCCAGAGACACAGGCATGGGGCTGCAAACCAGGACAGTCAGGGTAGAAATGCAGGGAATGGGGCAGAATGGAAGGAGGAGGCAGGGACCCCGTCCCCGTGGGCCTGAGGGGACAGAGATGGGAGAAGTGGCAGGCAGAGACCGAGAGACAGCAGAGACGTATGTGAGAGACGGCGGGGGGAGCGTGGGAGCAGGGCCCGGAGCGCCGATCCCACGGCTCCTCGTTATAACGTGTCCGGAGGAGGCGGCGGGGAGTTGAAAGCATCGGGAAGAGAAATCAAAACCAACACGGAAATGAGAGAGGCCAATGGGGGGGGGGACAGAGGCGGAGGAAGGAGGGAGGGGACCCGGAGAGGCAGAGAGAGAGCCGGGGAGGTGGGTGAGGTGGACGGGGAGAGGTGCGGAGGAGTCCGGGTGATGGAGAGAGATGGGGAGATGGGAGGGAGATGAAGAGAGAGACGAGACAGAGATGGGGCCGGGTGGGGGCAGAGAGACACAGAAGTGGGAGAGTTAGAAAGACACAGAGAGAAGGAGGAAGAGACAGATGGGGGAGAGAGAGGGAGCGAGAGAGACTGAGAGATGGAAAAACAGGGGAGATGGGGAGAGAGAGACAGGAGAAGGGATGGGGAAGACAGGAAGAGACAGATGTGGGAAAGAGATGGGGTGGTGGGCGTAGAAGACTGAAAAAGGAAAAGAGATTGAGTGATGGAGGGAGAGAGAAGGAGAGAGGTGGTGAGAGACAGAGGGCCACAGAGATGGGGAGAGAAGCACCCCAGGTTGAGGGGAGAGAAGAATGAGAAAGAAGAGAGACGGAAAAATGGGAGCGATAGTGAGAGGAGACAGAAAGGAAAAGAGAGAGCATACGAGGAGACAGACAGAGATAAAGAGAGACAGGGAGGGAGATCAGCAGAGAAAGTTGGTGAGATGGGGGTGTGGAAATAGAGGGAGACCTTGAGGAGGCAGATGGGGTGGGGGAGGGGCTGCCCCCCAGAGGGACTTGAGTGCTGGAGGGGAGTGTGTGAGAGGGACCTCAGTAGACATGGCTGGTAGAGGTTGGGGGTGAAGGTGTCTGTGGGAGACTGGACAAGTCTGGGAGGAAATGGGCTATCTGGCAAGTCTTGTCAGGTTTCCAAGGGGTGATATGGGGTTTATGGGGGGACAGAGTGTCTGTGGGTTTCTGAGGGATCTGTGAGATCTTTGGGGAGCAGCAGGGTGTCTGAGAGGAATGGTATATTTAAGAGTATGAGAGGCTGAAGTATCTCAGGGAGGGGTGGCTGGGGTGGGTGTCTGAGAGGAGCAAATATCTAAGGGTGTAGGTGTCTGAGGGTGGTGTCTGGGGTGCAGGGGTATCTGATGGGGAGGGGCTGTCAGAAAAGGGAAAAGATCTGAGAGACAGGGCAAGGAGGGGATGGGGCATCTTAGGAGAGGGGTGTCTGAGGGAGTGGAGGTCTGAGAGGGAGGACCTATCTGGGAGGGGAGGTGTAGCTAAGGGGAAAAAGGTGTCTGAAAGCAGAGGCAGATCCAAGGGGAAAGGGTGTCTGAGGGGGGCTGTCTGGGGGAGAGGCAGATTTAAGGGGAGTGTCTGAGGGGGGCTGTTTGAGGGAGGCAGATCTAAGGGGAAAGGGGTGTGTGAGACGAGGAGGCAGGTCCAAGTGGCAGGGATGTACAGGGTGAGCTGCAGGTTGAAAGAGGGGTGTCTGTGGGAGCGCACATGTAGGCGCTGGGGGCTGCTCTGAGGGTGGGTGGGTGGAGGGCTGGCGCTGGGCCTGTCCTCTCCCAGCCCTTTGGGCGGGCGGCTGGTTCTGGCCAGCTCTGGGCACACAGATGAGAGCGCCGGGCTGCTGCGTGGCCAGCCCAGGGGTTCAGCCGGGGGTCCAGGGGTCGGGGAGAGGTTCGGAGTGAGATAAACCTGGGGCAGCCACAGAGAGAACAGAGGGAGACCCAGAGACGCAGAGACGGAGCGAGAGGTTAGGTGCGGGACGGGGATGGAGAGACAGTGGCAGAGATGCGGCGGGGCGGGAGGAGCGAGGAGCGAGGCTGGGAGCGCCCTGGTGCTTAGTGATCGAGGCACAGAGTAAGGGGGAGGCTGCCCAGGAGTGGCTGGGAGGGACGGCTCGGTGACACAGGGCCGGGAGAGGGACTGGGAGAGATGGGCACAAGGGGGCAAAGGGGTGTCAGGGTGCGATGTGGGAAGAGAGGGTGGTGGGCCTCAGGCTGGGCAGGGTCTGGGCAGCGCCTGTCCCCGCTGACTGCTGTCTGTCTCTCCCGCCTGCCCCATCCTGTGCCTGCGTGTCTGTCCCCGCATGTCTGTCCCGGCATCTCTGCAGGGCCAGCTCCACCATGGACTGTAGCTGCGTCTCCGACCTTCTCTTCACCCCACCTGCCCTGCCGGCTCTCTGGACCCCTGGTAACTGACCTAGACCCTCCCTTCCCCCAGCCCTCGGGCCTTCCCAGCCTGCCCCTCCTCTCTGATCTCTTACTCTCCTCCCGCTACCTCCCAGGTCTCTGTCCGAGTCCCCTTAATGAAAAACTTGGCTAAAAACTTCACAGCCAGATGTCCCTGCCACCTGCCTGCTGGGACATGAGGGTCTTTTGGAGGGTGGGTGAGGTCTTGAGGTCCAAGAGCACAAGGATCCAGGGGCCTGAGGTCCTGGGATCTCTGCCGTGCACATCTCAGCCTGCTCCCACCCAGGACCTGCGGGCAAAGAGAAGCAGGGGAACTAGAGACAGACAGGCACTGTTGGAGCAGGGACGGGGACCAGATGAGGTAGTAGGCCTGGAGCTGGTGGACAAATGGACAGACGGGACTACCCAGGCAGGGGGACATGGAGTCACAGCCCAGCCAGCCGGAGCTCTGGGAGAGAGGACGGCTCGCTCAGAAGTGGATGCTCAGAGCTGGGGATGTGGACAGTAAGACTGACTTGGATGTGCATTTGAGTCCAAGTCACATGCCCTACGGATGGGCTGTGTGTGTGTGTGTGTGTGTGTGTGTGTGTGTGTGTGTGTGTGTGTACTGAGACTTTGTGCCTGGTTATTTGAGGTCTTGGAGTATGTCCCTGTGTCACACCTGAGTGTTTCTGGAAGAAGGGGTCACACTGGGAGAGTATGAGTGTATCTGCGCATACTGTCTGTCTTTGTGCGAGCTAGTGTGCCTGCTCGTACATGTATATCAAGGCTACCTTAGTGTCTCTGGGCTGCGTTGTCTTTCTTTGGGATGTCTAGTGTGTCTACATGTTAGATTGGGGGGTGTCTGCCAGCTCGCCGAGTGTGAACCTGCCTCAGTGAGGCGAAGAGCCTTCGCCTTCTCCTTACTGGTCTGTTGCATGGTGTGTAGCATTCAGAACGGAGTCTTGGTGCTATGTAGGGGGCTGTGTCTGTGTTGGGGTGTGTGTGTGTGTTTCTCACATCTGTGTCACTGAGTGTGAGTGGGGGCTGTCTGTCACAATTTGTGTCTTTCTGCTAAGGTTGGGGTACTCTCTCTAGGTTAGCACAACACATTTGAGGACATCCCGTGGTGTTTCCAGGTTGGGTTGTGTGTATGGCTAGTGGCACATTGTCATCTTTGGGGTCTTGTGGGTGTGTCTGTGATAGTCGTTTCCCCACTGGGACATGTTTGTGTTCTGGGTATGGAATGGGCCAGAGCTCCTGAGTTGATTGGGCCCTGTCATCTGAGGATCTGAAATGGAGTTGGGAGAAAATTCTCCCATCAGGGAGGAAACTGCCTGGCCTTCCCCAGCCTCATGCAGGGAGGCGTTAGCACCCACATTTATACTCCAGGCAGCCTGGGCCGGACCTTGCTCTTCCTGGCTGCCCACCCCTGAAATCCTAATTAGCCAGAGAGGGCAAGGAACTGCAGGGGGGATCACACAGCAGCAGCACAGCTCAGTGTGCCTCCCTCCCCAACCTCCTCCCCTTTGTTGCACGCTCTTAACTCTTTATAGACCAGTTCTGCCTTGTTTTCATGCCTAGATCTGGGGTCTCTGAGGAGGGGAGAGGGGATAGGAGATGTGGCACAGGAATGAACACAGAGGTGGGACCCAGGGCTTGGGCTTTCTGGATGGGAGGTGAGATTTAGGGGCGGGCAAGCATATCCCATTTCCACCCAACTTCTGGGTGTATTTGGACAACAAGGGGCAGGACACCATGAAAGTGACACGTGTAATGCTGAGTGAGGCGTGTTAGAAAGTGGTGCCTCTGTGTGTGTGTGTGTGTGTGTGTGTGTGTGTGTGTGTGTGTGTGTGTGTATGGTTGGGGGGACTTGGGAGGCTGTTCTGTCATGGTGTCACCCTGCGCGTGTCTGTCAGGTTGACATGTGGGTCTTGATGCTGACTCACCGTTTCTACCACAGTGTGTCTCAATTTGGGGTCCTGTGTATTTCTGGTCATGGTTGTGTTGTAGTGGAACCCAGTCCCGAGGGACCTGAGATGTATAATTTTGTGTTGGGATGGGGTGTACAATGTGGGGTGTGTGGCATGTCCATCTTGGTGGTACCTTATGTATAGTGTGTTGTGCCCCAGCAGGAGTGTGCTAGTCCAGTGCATCTGTGTCCCAGGTGTAGCTGGGTGTCCCTTGAGGGTGAGTGTATGTCTGTGTCACCTGTGTGTCATGTCTGCATACACACACTGCTCTCTGACATAGTGAGGCGACACGGGGACGTGAAAGGCATACATGGACAGATGCTCAGATGTGTGCGCACAGGCCCAGCCTGGATGTGCCAAGGTGGGGTCAGCCGGCAGGGGCTTTTGGGGGGGGCGGGGAGATGGAGCAGGGGCAAGGCACAGGGAGGAAGGGAGACAGCAGGAATCAAGGACAATTCAGGACCAGCACCTCCCAGGGCTGGCACGGGTGGGGGGCAACGGAGAGAATGGGTAACACTCTGGAGGGGGTGCCCTTCCCAGTTTCACACAGTCAAGGATGGAGAAAACTGGCCTATCCCACCCTCCACTCCAGGACACTGAACCTGGAAGTTGTACCTAGATAGGGGAATCAGGCTGGAAGTGCCAACTTAAGGTCCCCTGAGTTCTCGCCCACTTGTTGGACAATTTGGGGACTAGACACCAAGTGGGGTCTGGAGAGTGGGAATGCCTGAGCCTGGGCAGTTGCTCATCAGAGACCGGGAGCAGGGTGAGGGCTGGGTGCCTTCTGGGTTCCAAGCAGGGGCCACTCCCTTGCCTCTGTTTCTCAGGGTTTGCCTTCCCGGATTGGGCCTACAAGCCCGAGTCGTCCCCTGGCTCGAGGCAGATCCAGCTGTGGCACTTTATCCTGGAGCTGCTGCGGAAGGAGGAGTACCAGGGGGTCATCGCCTGGCAGGGGGACTACGGGGAATTCGTCATCAAGGACCCGGATGAGGTGGCCCGGCTCTGGGGCGTCCGCAAGTGCAAGCCCCACATGAACTACGACAAGCTGAGCCGGGCCCTGCGGTGAGGAGGGCTGTGGCCTGCATGCCCGCCTTGCCCCTTCTCCCCACACTGTCCCTCTGGGCCCCCGCCCCCTGGGGGCTTTTCCACCACTTCCGGGGGTCAGAATCCCATTGGCTCGCATGCAGGACTCTGCACAAGTGTAAGCATTTCTGTTAGTGGAAGGCAGGCAAGGAGGAAGCACCTACGGTCTGGGCTTTGGAGCCACACAGGTCAGGACCCCAACCCCTGCCTCACTCACCCCTCCCTGGCCCTGGGACCTTGGTCAAGGGACCTCTATGAGCCTCAGTTTCCCCAATTGTTATGCTCTGTGGCTGGCACAGCATGGGCTCAGGGCTTCCCCTTTACCCCTCCCCCCCCAATTCTCCCTCTCCCCACAGCTACTACTACAACAAGAGGATTCTCCACAAGACCAAAGGGAAGAGGTTCACCTACAAGTTCAACTTCAGCAAAGTTGTGCTTGTCAACTACCCACTGTTGGATGTGGCAGCAGCCACCACGGGATCCCCACTCTTGCTGACTCCCAGTCCCTTTGCGGGGGGACCTGGGCCAGATGCTCCTCCCCTCACCCCAGAGGTGAGTTAGGATGCTGGGGTCCCAGAATCGAGGCATTTGATGTCTCCTCAGCCATGGACCCCTTGGAGAGGGGGTGGCCAGTCTGAGCAGTACCACCTCCCTCGCCAGACCCTGCAGACCCTGTTCTCTGCCCCACGCTTGGGAGAGCCAGGGGCCCGGGCGCCCCTGTTCACCCCTGAGACGGACAAACTGCGTCTGGACAGTCCTTTCCCATTCCTGGGCTCCGGTAAGGGCCCCGGGGGGTGCAGGGGTGCTGGGTTAAGGGGATGCTGCCTGTGTTTGAAGGAAGAGGATGAGCAAAAACAGAGACAGGATGCAGGAAGGCCTGGGGCAAGGCTGCTCCTGTGTGTGTTTAAAAGCCAGAGGATTCAAGGGGAGGCAGTGAGGAGGGAAACTGGGAAGGGGGACAGGCTGGGAGAAAGGCTTTCAGGGGCACTAAAGGAATAGGTTGAGTGGGGGAGGTGAGGATGGGGGGAGCCTTTCGAGGGTGGGTGGATGCTGCCTGGGAGGGGAGAACTGTGTAGGCGCAATACAGTAGGGTGGTGGCACCCTTCACTAAGGTCCAACGGAGGAGCAGTGGCCCAGCCTGACGCAGCCCCTGTGCCCTCCAGGTGCCACCAGCTACTCCAAGCCCCCGGGCTTGCTGGGTCCTTACAGCCGAGCTTTCCCGGAGTACCCCTGGAACTTTAACCCCTACCTCGCCGGCCCCTTCCCCAAGCTGCCTCCTTCTCTCTATCCCCCCCACTTCTACCCCAACCCTCTGGCCAGCTCCCTGGGCCACCTGCCCTCGGCAGGGGCAGGGGGAGGCCCCACAACCACACCTCTCCTGGCTGCCACGGGGGAGGGCCTGGGCCCCGAGCGCCCCTCGGGCCTGGCAGCAGCCCCTCGCCTGGCACTGCCAGGGGCTGGGGGTCCAGAGGCTGCTCTGGGCGGGAAGGAGGACAGCGACTCGGAGCTGGAGATCACGGATGTCAGCGGCTGCAGCTCTGACAGTGAGGGCGACGAGGGCCTCCCCGTGCCCCCCAAGTCCAAGATGGGCAAAGGGGGAGTTGGCAGCTGAGCCGGCATGGGGTGATGGATTCTGCCGGGGCAGGGACCAGGGCTACCACCCGTGCAGCCTCTTCCTTCGTCTGGTCTGCCCTCGATGTCCTGCCAGAGGCTGGGGCTCAGCCCTTGGCCCCTCCCAGGGCCGGGCACATGGCTGTCCCTGTCTTCTTCTCCAACCCCAGGTTGGGGGTCTCACCTTCCCCTCCAGAGAGGGGAAGGAACATGATGGCCTCCAGCCTCCTCCCAGGCTCCAGTTTGAGGGGGGTCCCTGTCCGGCCCCACTCCTGAAGTGCAATATGGTGCCCAGCCTCCCCTCCCCCCTCCCCCCCACGCTGTGACCTGTGTGTTTGTGTGGCCGTGTGTCCCCTGTGCCGGCCCCAGTCCTGACACCCACCCCACACAGGCCCCCTGGGGACAGGGAGCTCAGAGCAATAACCCCGCCCCCAGCCCCCACCCAGGAGGGCCCCCCTCCCCACCAGCTCCCCATGACCCCAACAGCCACCTCCAGAGAGTTTACTACAAAAATAAAAGAATGGAAAGGAGTGTGGATGTGGGGCGCCCAGCACTGTGGGTGATCATGGGGGCTTGGGGGTGGGGCTGGGAGTGTGTGGAGGTGCCTGGAGAATAGGCGTTAAAACACCGAATGAATGAACAGTTGGAGAAAGGCAAGAGGCACAGGTGACGTGGTGGGACAGACCCAGGAAGACGATGCCAGACAGAGAGGGCTCCAGATGCCACTCCAGGGACCTGCTTTGCCCTCACAACACAGACCTCTCCTTAGATAATATATATTAAAAAATAAACCTTCAATTCAGGATATAAAAACAGAGCAAAGGCACTTGGGGGGGGGTGTCGAAGGGGTGGCCCCCCCACCAGGCAATACTGAGATGGCCCGGGAAATGGGGATCACTGTGGTGCCCCCTGGAATAAAGCCCTGAGTCTCCCAAGCAGAAGGCAGAAGGGAGAGAAGGCCGAGGCCAATGGGAAGCTGAGGGGATGCAGTGATCCCAGCTGGGGCCCCCCCGGACGTGGCCTCGAAACCCCAGCTCCCTCTCCTTGGGCCCCTGGGGTTGCAGATCCTGCAGCAGCTGTGCCGTGGTGGGTGGGTGGTCCTCGCGTCCTCTCCATCTTGCAAAAGGCCTGGGGGGATGTAGGAGAAGGGAGACAGACAGATGGAGGAGGGGAGAGCAAGGGAGAGATGGCAAGAGAGAAACAGGGAAAAAGGGGAGAGAAAGGGAGGATGGGGAGAAAGGGAGCACAAAATGGCCAGAGAAATAGAAACGGACAGAGATGGAGAGATGAGGAGACAGGAGGTGGGGGGACTGGGGAGATGACAGACAAAGGCACAGGGAGAGAAATGGGTGGGGCTGTGGAGAGGGGAGCCCCTGAGGTGCCCACTCCGGACCCCCCCCTCTCTGGGCATTGCTTGGGGCCCCCCAGGCCCCCACTCACCTGCCTGGGGCAGGGAGCCTCAGGTACAGCCAGGCTGGGGGACAGTGTTCTCCCCAAGCTGAGACAGGATGAGTCGCAGGCGACAAAACTCCTCCTCCACCTCCTGGTTTTGGGGGGGGGAGGGGTCACCATGAGAGAGGTGCCTGCACTGAGTCATCCCCTTCCTCCTCCACCTCACTGCCTCCCCAGCCACTGGCCACCACCTCCAGCTGTTTAATGGTCTCCTCCAGGCTGAGTAGCTCCATTTGGACTTCCTGGGTCTGTGTGGGGCGCAGGGGGCCACCTCCTGGGACCCCATCCTCTTGGAGGGGAGGCCCTGCCCCACTGTCTTCTTCCGAGAGGCACAGTAGCTGCTTCAGGGACAGAACTGGCCAGGGACAAGGGGACAGAGTCAGAGGTGGGGCTGGGGCTGGAAAGGGGGATTCAGAGGGGGACAGGTGAGGGGCAAGAGGTGGGAGAGGCCAAGGGCCTGCAGGTGGGTGCCAGGGGAGGCTGACCTTGGGGTTAGCTAGGCCAGCAGATGGGGTGAAAGGGGACAGAGGTGAAGCTGGCGCTGGAGCTGGGGTAGGGTGGGAGGACACCAACGTTGGAGATGGGTCCAGGGAGAGGCTGAATCGAAGGTCAAGAAAAGGATGGAAGTTGCAGGAGGGACATGGAGCCGTGCGCGGGGTGGCTGGTGCCCTTGTTTCTGGTGGCAGCCCTGTGGGGGGGTGGGGGAGGCTACCTTTCCGAAGGGCCTTGGCAGCGAGCTGACCCTCGGGGCCAGGCCTGCAGAAGGGCAGGAGGGCGCTGAGTGTTCTCTCAATCCGGCCTGGGTGGGGAGCAGGGAGGGTGCTCAGATCCTGCCCAGCTTCCTGTGGACACCCTCACCCCCACTCAATGTCCCCCCAGGCTCACCGTCAGCTGGGAGCATCTCTCGGCTACCATTGCCATTTTCAGAGCTGCTGAGCAGGGGTTCTCGGGTACTGGGGGAAGGAAGTGCTGGGTGACCCCACACTCCTGGCCCCAGGGGTGGCAGGGGCAGGGAGACAGAGTGCTGGACATGGGGAGGTCCAGAGACAGACAGAGATCGAGGCTGGATGACAGGGAGACAGTGAGGCCAGGCCAGTGGAAGACAGGGGCTTGGATAGGAGACTGATGGGCCACGATGGGGCAGCACACACACACATACACATATACATGATGCACATGCACATGACACGCACACAGTGGAGACAGGGCTAGAGCTGGGGTTCTGGGGTCAAACAGGAGGCCAGCCCCAGCACCACCACCCCACTCCCTCCCTCCCCCCATCCTCCAGGTCCCTCCCTAGCCCCCCTCACCTGCTTGGGCTGGGCCGGGGTTTGGGGCGGGAGGCAGGGGCAGGGACCTTCAGGGACCCAGCAGTCTCAGTGATGAGGGTACACCAGCTGGGGAGACAGGCCGGCCACCGGGCAGTCAGAGCCCCCAGACCCTGTCAAGGCCTCCCACCCTCACCCTGTCCCCAGGGACTCGGGCCTGGGCCTCCACCACCCGTGCAAGGAACCCAAATCCCCTCACTTCTTCCGCTCCGATACAGTCTGTGCCACCAGCTCGTATATCTGGGCCTCCTGGTCCCAGGTAAAAATGACATAGAAGGCTTTGTGATCTACAAGGGGAAGGAGAGGTGTGGCTCAGAGCCAAGGTAACCCTACTTTGTGTCCTCGGCTGGAATCTGGGGATGGCCCTCATGATGGTGGAGGGGGGCTCCCACGACTCAATTCCCCCCTCCTGTGTCACTAATACCCCCCCCCCAGTGCCCTCCTTCCAGCCTTCCCTCTCATGCCCCCATATCTAACCAGGCAACACATCGCCACCATGGCCCTGTGGCAGCTTCTTGGCACCATGTTTGCAAATCCCTTGTTACTGAGCTCCTGGCTTCCACCCCCACGTCTCTACAACCCCCAAGGGGCAGCCAGGGTGTCTTTACAAAACAGCAGGCAGAGTTGGCAGCTCCTCTGTGCAAAGACCTGCGGCAGTTTCCCATCTCACTTAATGAAATCCACAACCCGGGCCTGGCCCCTGGCCCTGCCCAGCTCTAGGGTCTCCTGCTCGCAGCTTCCGCTTCCTCCGCTTGGCCTCGGCCTGCCACGCTTCCCACGTCTCTACCTCTGCGGCAGCCTCCCCTTGGCCAGAATGTGAGTTCCTGGGCTCTTTGGAGGGCTCCCTCCGCACTCAGGGCCGGGCCTCACCGGTGGCCACCTCTCGGGTCATGGCAGAGGTGAGCCGCAGTACCGGCCGCAGCATTGTCTTGCCATCGGGCGTGGGCGTCAGCGTCCGGCTGTGTGACTTGAGCAGCAGCCGCTCGTCCTGGCGCTGGAGCAGCAGCAGCAGGTCGTCCAGCAGCAGCACGTGGACCTCTGCAGGGGGCAAGGCCACCGTCAGCGCCCTCAACCTGAGCACCCGACCCTCACGGCCCCTGCTCCCTGCCCTGGCGCTCACCCACAGCCTTGTCCTTTGTCACCCGCCACGTCAGCGGGCCCTCGTGGACCAGCTTCTTCTTAGTGATGTCTAGGTTCTGGAGGCCGGAAGGAGTGACGGTGGGCGCAGGCCAGGGTGGGGCAGGGGAGGGGAGGGATGACCATGGGGTTGTGTATGGCAGCCAGGGGGCAGGATGGGTGCTGGCTGGGAATGGGGAGGGGTCAGAGCTGAGGGGTTTCTCTGGCTCCCTAGATGCATTATCAGAGAATCCCTGACAGCAGGAAGGGAAGAGGAGGGGAGATCAGGAGGGGTCACCTTGAACTCGCTCAGCATGGGGTCACTGCTCTGCTTTAGGTGGGACAAGTCCAGGCGCTTCTGATAATCCTTGAGCCGCTGGAGTAGGGAAGAGAGCGTCACAGGGACAAGCCAAGGGCTAGGCCTGACCTCCAGTGACCCTGAGAGGGAGGAGTTGAGAGCCCAGCTAACCCCTGCAAAGCCAATGACCCTGGGGGGGACAAGCTGAGGGCCAAGCTGAGCCCTGCACACACATGCCCCACTGCCCTGGGCCCAGGGCCACGCCCAGGCTCACCAGCAGGTCCTCCATGTCTCGCACAGCTTGGTTGACGTGGTGCAGAATTTCCCGGCAGCACTCAGCCGCCTGCTCCACCTTCTCCCGTTCCACAGGCTCTTCTGCGGGCAAGGGAGAGACCAGCCATGGTGAACTCCAACCCTGGACCCTGCTGGTCTGTGGCCAAAGTGGGACGTGGGAGAGCTGGGCCAGTGGGGCAGCCGGCAAGGGTACCTGTGTTCTGCCCGATGCTCTGCAGCAGCAGTGGGTACTTGGTCAGCCGTTGCATCTCTGTGGGGATCATGTCCTTCAGCTGCAGGCGGCGACACCGTGGGCGGCTCTCGGCCTCCTGAGGGAACAGCAGTGCTGAGGTGGCCCCCGCTTGGGGCTCCCCTCTGGGACTGGGACACCGGAACCTCCTCCCGGGCCCTTGGCCCAGACACCCACCCACCTCACCTGTACAAAGGCGCAGAAACGAGGCTCCTTGCGCTGCTTGGTTTTGAGCTGGTCTAAGGCGTACGACTGGCGGCTGCAGAAGCGGGAGGAGATTTTCTGGAACCAGGAGCCCTCTGTACCATCAAACTACAGGGAGAGTCAGGCCAGGGAAGGTGTCTCAGGTGGGCGTGGGAAGAACAGGGCCTCACTCGGGGATGGAGGCTAAGACAGGGGGACAGGGCTGGGGGCCCAAACCCCCAGCTTCCAGGTCCCCAGCTAGGAGGAGGAGGGGCTGGGGGCGGGGCTGGGCGCCCTCACCCGGGCCAGCAGCACGTCTCCAATCTCCTCTATGAGGTAGCCGCTGTCCTGCCTCCGCTTCATCAGGCGATCGAGGAACAGGGCTGTGGGGAGCGGTGAGGAAAGGCAGTACCGTTCAGGGCCCGCAAGACTGTG